GGAACTCATAGAAGAGTTTGGCAAAGTAGCAGGATATAAAATCAATGCACAAAAATCAACAGCTTTTGTATATGCAGACAATGCCACAGGTGAGAAAGAACTTCTAAGATCGATCCCATTCATAATAGCTAGAAAACAAACCCAAATAGCTTGGAATAAATTTAACCAAGAATTTCAAAGGTCTCTACAATGAGAACTACAAAACATTAAAGAAAAAAATAGAAGAAGATACAAAAAACTGGAAAAATCTTTCACATTAATGTATTGGAAAAATCAATATAATCAAACTGTTCATACTTCCAAAAGCATTTTTTCAGATTCAAGGCAATATCAATCAAACACCAAGGACATTTCCTCAAATATAGAAAAAAAATGATGCTGAAATTCGTATGGAAACACAGGAGACCAGGAATAGATAAAGCAATCTTATGCAACAAAAATAAAGCCAGAGGCATAACAATACCAGATTTCAAGACATACTACAAGGCAATTATAATCAAAACAGCCTGGTACTGCTACAAAAACAAATAGATAGACCCATGGAACAAAATACAAACGCCAGAAATCAATCCAAGCATCTAAAACCAACTTATATGCAATCAAGGAGCTAAAATCATTCCCTGGAGCAAGGACAGTCTCTTCAACAAATGGTACTGGGAAAATTGCAATTCCACATATGAAAGTAGGAAGCAAGACCTTCACACCTTACACCTTACACAAAAATCCACTCAACATGAATTAAAGACCTGAATCCATGACTTAATACCATCAGATTATTAGAGAATATTGAGGAAACCATGCAAAACATTGACACAGGCAAAGAGTTCTTGGAAAAGACCCCAAATGGACAAGCAATGAAAACCAAAAACAAAAGATTATATTTCATCAAATTGAGAAGCTTCTGTACTGCAAAAGAAACACTCAGGAATGTGAAGAGGCAACTGACAGAATGGGAGAAATTATATGCAAACTTTGCAAATGATAAAGGATTAATAACCAGAATATATAAAAAGGTCAAGAAACTCAACAACAATAAAACAAACAACCCAGTGAAGAAGTAGGCAAAGGATGTAAACAGACATTTTTCAAGAGGAAATCCAAAAGGCCAATAGACACATGAAAAAATGCTCTGGATCACTAGACATCAGGGAAAGGCAAATCAAGACCTCACCCCTGTTAGAATGGCTTTCATACAGACATCAACAAACAACAAATGTTGGTGAGGCTATGGGGGCAAAAGTACCCTAATGCACTGTTGGTGGGAATGTAAACTGGTAAAGCCACTATGGAAGACAGTAAGGAGATACCTCAGAAATCTGAATATAGACCTACCATATGACCCAGCCATCCCACTCCTGAGAATTTATCCAAGGAAAATGAAATCAGCATATGAAAATGTTATCTGCACCTCCATGTTTATTGCAGCTCAATCCACATTAGCTAAGACATGGAATCAATCCAAATGCCCATCAACTGAAGATTGGATAAAGAAATTATTGGCTATGCATGCTATGGAATACTACACAGTAGTAAAAAATGAAATCTATTCATTTACAACAAAATGAATGTATCTAGGAAACATTGTGCTTAGTGAAATAAGCCAGTCCCCAAAAGACAAATATCATATGTCTTCCCTGATCTATGATAACTAGTAGATCACCTAAAAGGCAATCTGTAGAGGTGAAATTGACAGTTTGAGAAATAATGATTTGAGCAGACCTTGTGTTAACTGTTGAGGAACAGTGTTTTGGTTGTTTGTTTTGTTTTGTTTTGTTTTGATATTATTTGTTGAACTCTTTACAACATAGAGTTAAGCATAGATGTATAGAAAGTCAATAGAAAATAGATCTCAGTAAAATCTAGCAGTTGGAATAAGAGGGATTTAGGAATATGTGTGGGAAGGTAGGCATGTTGGGAAGAATCACCACATTCCTAAACTTGTAATTATGAAGTGTATGAATCTTGCAACTCTAAAGCTGTATAGTTCTAGATACAATCCTATGGCCTTACTTCCAAGGGTGCAGATTAAAAACTTGCCGTGGGACCCCAAGTCCCCTTAAGCTGGGTGGAAAAAATACCATCTTAAGTGTTAAAGTGATCATATAGATAGGATTAAGGCTCTGGTAATAAAAATAGATAACTTTAAAGAGGAAGGAATGATCCAACATGGGAAGCAGTCCACACAGCAGACTCATAGAATGACGATCACTTTAAGAAGCACTCTGACCTCAGAATCAGCCCTTAAGGCTGAAAATCCCATGAGAGCATTTCAGGTATGGAAAGCCAAGACAGTGTGTCAGAAAATTTCCTACATCAAGGACCTCAGTGGGTGAGACTGCAGTGGAAAGAAGTGGTCACCAAAGAAGGAGGTACTTTACTCTGAAGGGAGGAGAGAACTTCCACTTTTGCATTATTTAAATACTGATGGAGTTTGTGGATTCAAAAGTCTTACATAGCCTAGGCAACTCATGTTAAGAACCTGAGGTGATCACTAATGTCATATGTAAGAGTGTTAATTGTTAAATTAACAACAGAAGTCACTGTGCACTAATGCCTCATGCAGGGCCTCTGTTCTCAAAGAGCTTCATTATAATTATGTCAAAGTGCTCACAAAAGATGTATCATTCTTGGGTGCTTCTTTAAAGTTAATTAATTTACTAAAAAAAGTGAAATTAACTTCAAGATACAAAGACTTTGAACAGCCCTTGTCTTGACTATTGAGGAACAGTTTTGTTTTGTTTCCTGCTTTATGCTTTTTTTTTTCCTTTGCAAATAGTTGAACACTTTACTTAGTATAGAGTTGGTCTTCTGTGTATAAAGTTAAGGGAAAATGGATCTTAGTGGAGAATGGGACTGGGAATGGGAGAGGGAGCAGGGGCAGGGATGGGAGAATGGATGGAAGGGCGGATATGGTGGAAAGAATCACTATATTCCTAAAAGTGTACTTATGAAATGTATGAAGTCTGTATTCCTTAAATAAAATGTTTCTTTGTGGAGAAAATAAATTAAAAAAAAAAAAACAAGATAAATAAAAAAAACCTATGGTAGTGGAATTCTTGAAACTAATAGAGAACACTATAGAAAACTGATATATCTAAGAGAAAATGAAAGAGTAGCTGCCTATCTCTTTCTTATCCGCACATATTTTCTCAACATATGTGTCTCTGAATTTAACTCCTCTGTGAAAACAATATATTTGCTGGTTATATTCAAGATGTAACAAGCATATCAACATGAGTTTGTCCTGAGGATTTCTTTGCATTCAGCACTGACTTTAACATGTATACTGCAACATGTATACCTTGTTGCTATATTGCCAATATAACTATTCAAGTAGACATTTGATGGTAACTAAAAAAATTATATGTAGAAACAATGCTAAAAGCGCATGTTATATTATAGCACTAGTGCAGATACAAGAAAGGTGGTAAAAATAAAAAGATACCTAGAGCAGTCCACATTTCAAGTTTCCATATTACAGATAGATTCTTTCTTTAAAAGATTTTATTTATTTATTTGAGAGTTATAGACAGAGAGAGGTAGAGACAGAAATAAACATCTTGCATCCACTGGTTCACTCCCCAAATAGCCACAACTGCTAGAGCTGAGCTGATCCGAAGCCAGGAGCCCAGAGCCTCTTCTGGTCTCCCAGGTGAGCGAAGGCGCCTAAGCATTTGGGCCATCTTCCACCCCTTTCCCAGACCATAGCAGAGACCTGGATTGAAAGAGGAAGAACTGAGACATAAACTGGTGTCCACATGCAATGCTTGTGCCACAGGTGTAGGCCTAGCCTACTAGGACACAGCACCAGCCCCTACAAATAAATTCTTAAACCAATGTCCTAAAGTTCCCAGTTTCTTCTACACAATCCTAAATTATTTGGGACAAATAGAAACATTCTCTCTGGTTATCCATAAGTCATTCATTTGAACAGTCAGTTAATATTTATAGAGCATTGTCCTAAATACAGAGCATTGTGAAAGGACAAAATTCCTGCCCTTATCAAGTTTGTATTTTAAAGGAGTAAACAGTCAATCAAAAGTAAATAATGACTGGCTAGGCTCCACCTGCAGGGCCGGCATCCCATATGAATGCCAGTTCATATCCTGCTGCTCCTTTTCCAATCCAGCTCACCACTATGGCCAGGGAAAGCAGTGGAGGATGGCTCAAGTGCTTGGCCCCTGCACCCATGTGGAAAATCCAAAGAAGCTCCTGACTCCTGCATTTGCAGTGGCCCAGCTCTGGCAGTTGAGGCCATTTTGGGGAGCGAACCAGAGGATAAAAGACCTTTCTGTCTCTCCCTGTCTCTCTGGAACTCTGCCTCTCAAATAAAAAATCTTTAAAACAATGACATTTATAATATAATACGAGGTAATGAGACTGACAAAAAATTAAGCAGCCATAGTAGAATTAGAGAATAGTGGTCCTGTGACTATTTTAGATATGGTGGTCAAGGATGGCTTCTCTGAGGTACTGTTGTTTGAACAGGAGAAAAACGGCTCTCAAAGAAGTGGTGAGATATTCCAGGCAGAGGAAACAGCCATTGCAAATGCTTTGAGGGAGGAATAAGCTTACTATGAAAGAAAAAATAAGAACAGGATGAGCAGTAAGTAAAAGCAGTGTCACAAGAATTAAAGTGAAAAAGTAAGCAGGAAACAAATAAATCAAATCTTGCAGTCTTAGAATTTGGATTTTATTATGAGCAGATGGAAAGCCATTGGAAAGGAAAAATATCACCCTGGCTATTATGTGAACAGTACACAGAGTAGGGGAATAGAAGAACACAGTGAGGAAGTTGTCCCCTTGTCAGCTTAGAGATGATTATGGCTGGGTCAGAGTAGTAATGGGAGAGAAAAAAGGATGTTTGAGAGTTTGGGTTAAAAAAGAATTAAAGGAGCATGCCTAGGTTGTTTACTTAACCTCATGAATGGTGGTAACCAAAAAGAGAGGCATGGCAGCCAGGAAAGAAGTAGGTTTTTGATGGAGGTAGAGATCAAGACTTTATTTGAAGCATGTTGAGATATCTATTACACTTCCCAGTGGAGTCAGTTGGAGAAACTAGACCAAGTTTCTATGTCTGGACTGGTCATTTGGATTGGAAGACATCAGTACTGAGTGGTGACTCAGTTTTAGACCTGGGGAACAAAAGAGGGCAAGAAGCAAAAATGTCTGAAGATGTAGTCCTGAGAGTCAAGCACACTCAGATATGAAAAAGGAGGGAGTCCAGAAGGGAAAATTATTTGTATTTGTATGCAGCAGATTTCAGGAGAATTCAAATGAGAATTCAGTCTTATTGCTAGAGGAAATAGGAAGACAAATATCAGCCCAGATGCCCACGTATAAAAATTGACATATAAAGAGGCTTTATGCAAGCAAGAGAAAAAAGTAATTTTAAACACAGGAAAGTTTGAGGGACACCCGGAGTGTTGAGAAATAGGAGGAAAACTGCATGGCATCTACCCAACCACCCTCTTCAGAATGTGAACCATTAAGTCTTGGCAGGAAGGAAAGGAAGGCTCAGAAGCCAGAAGAACAGGGCCTGTGTGCAGGACTGTAAAATGTGAAGCATGAGGACAACTTCAAGCCCAGATGACCCAGCTAATGAGAGGGTTGTTTTCTCACCAATGTACACCGCCGGGGTATGGCAATCAGAACATTAACATAGATACAGAGAATTCCATAGAGGGCACAGCTGTAATGGCCATTTCTTAATGACTTGGTGCTCACATGATTTAAGTAAGTAAGGATCATATTAGCACAGACTCCAGTGCAAACTCAATTCTCTAGTGTATTTTGCTCCTAGTGAATAACATAGGCAACCATCTCTGTCCATTACATGCTGTTACTACAGACATTGCATTCAGGTACAACTGACCTGTGTTGAAGAAGGATCCAGTCCATTCTGCTTCAATTTTAGGAAATACAGAAACTGGTGCAGGCAGATTCAAGGTATTCCCATCCAGATCTTTGAAGAGGTATTTTCTTGGATTTTCACAACCTGATTCCATACAGATTACTCTTTCTAAATCTTTCCTGTGGAGATAGAAACAACTCATTTATTTCATGATAAGCAGCATGAAGAAAAAATATTGGTAGTACAGATCTTGGATAAAATAAATTCAACTGAATTTTATTATTGATAATGTATTACATAGATACTAAATAAAACTCTATAAATATCAGTAATTTCCAATTATGTGGCTGAGAAGAAAAACATTCTTATTAACAAAATAATGTTGATATTTGGATATATACTATTTATATGGATTGCTGATTTTCTAAGAAGCAAAATAAAATAAAATGTTCCTAACTCCAATATCTACTGAACCTAAGATAATCATTCTTTATGGGACTTTGGAGCTTTCAAGTATTTTAGAATTATCACTATAAATATCAATTAAATTTGTGGTATATATAAACAAAGTACAAAAATATCATCATTCAACAAAAAGCTCTTGAAAATTTGCTAGGGACAAGTTGTGAAATACAATGGTAATGAAGTTAGAAATGGCCTTGCACCCCAGAATTTAGAGTTAAGTGGGATATAGAAACAAACAATTGAAATTATAACATTGAATTATAGAGAATATATTTTCTTTGCCTTAAAATTTGTATAAAACATTAATGATAATGTTAATATTTACAGCATGCCAACCACATATTGGGTATTGGTGGTATAAAGAATCAGAATTCTAAGATTATGTTGCACTATGGTTTGAATGATGGTGTCTCTAAAACTCAAGTTGAAACTTAACCCTTAAATCAACAGTACTAAGAAGTACCACCTAAAAGGTAGGTAAGTCATGAAGGTGGAGTCCTCATGAGTGGAATCATCACTTATGAAAGAGTTTGAGTTAGAGGGGTGTACTCTCTTGTCTTTCTGTCCCTTCAGTCCTGTCAGCACAGTGTTCTTCCCCTCTGGACAACACAGCAACGAAAAGCACAACCTTGGAAGCAGTCAGTAGCCTTCACCAGACACCAGTAATAAGTGCCTTAATCTTGAAGCCCCCAGCCTGCCAGAACTATAGGAAATAAATATGTGTTTTTTAGGAATCATCTAGTCTGCATTGTTTTGTAAAGTGGCAAAACGGACCATCATGTATCTTTACAACTACTGAAGCCCATTGATGACATACAAACACAGGGATGGACAAAACAACAGGATGAACAAAACTGGACATCAAGTTGTGTTTAGGTTCCTAAAATGATTCAGGGATGAGCAATAAAGCAATGCTAGAGCTAAGGATAAAAACTTGAATTCTAAGATGGCGGAATAGTGAGGGCGCGCACCGATAGTCCGGGAAAATTTAGTTTAATAAAAGGGGAGTTACGGTAGCCTCAGAAAAAAGAACCAGGAAAATATTGCAGACAAAACTCTTCTGGATCCAGTGGGCGTGAATCGGAGGACCTACTGGGAGAACAAGGTCGCCCACCGCGTGCGAAAGCCGAGCCGCAGGACCGAGCCGCGGGACTGAGCCGCGGAAGCCGAGCCGCGGGACTGAGCTGCGCAAGCTGCAGGGTCTGCGCGCAAGTGCTCGAAGGGGAGTGCAACAGCAGGGAGACTTGGGACATCCAGGGCTCCGAGTCCACACATCGGCGCTGGAAGGGGAGCAGACCTGTGTGGAGAGCGTGGGAGCCCACAGTTCGGGACACCAGCGGCAGACTCAACACACCAGCGCTGGAACGCGAGGTGAGCCGAACCTCAATAACCCGAGACACCGGCAGGCAAGCGGAGAGAGGAGACTAGAGGGAACGACCCCGGGGGCGGGGGGGGGACTTCACCAAGCTAACTGGAAGAGAGAGAGAGGGAAAAAAAAAAAGGTGACTGGTACGGACACGGGTTTCTCTCTCTCCGCTCACCTCTCAAGGGCGAGCAAGACAAAGAGCAGGCGCCATCTTGGACATACGTCATAAGCAGAGCGACCTCAGGTCTGCACCGGCCCTGAGCCTAGCAGTAAAACCTGACTCTGGGTGGGGCGAATTAACAGGAGATTAGGACCTAGTAAATTTGTGGTGCTACTGAACTGAGACTGTGAAAAAAAGAGACGGTGGGGGAGAGAACTCACGGAATTCACGTGAGCACTCTCCAGAGACGCTACAATTCCGTAACTTTGGCAACCCAGTGGGAGACTGAAGGAGAATTTGAGCCCACTCCGAGGGCCGAACAGATTCCCTGTGTGGTCCTTGGGAAAGAGCTTCCGATCTCTGGCTCCTGTGGGTATATCATTTGCCTGCTAACTACCTCCAACTTCGTTCAGCTGTGCAGAATAACTTCCCTTTTGAATCAAAAAAAGAGAGAGAGAGAGAGAGAGAGAGAGAGAGGTTTACCACGCCTAACCTGGGAGTGTCACCTTTGGCACACCAAACAGAGCTCTCAGGCCACACCCATCTCAAGCCCTAAGGCTCCATCAAAAACAGATAGTCCACTTAATCTAGAGTCATAGTATAACAAGAAAAAGCACCACAGTGAAGAAACCAAATATCTCCAATATGACAAATAACAAACGCAAAAACCAAGGTAATAAAAACAAGGAAGTCACCATGAAGCCCTCAAATGAAAAAGACACCCCAATTCAAGATTATGAGGATGATGACATAGAAGAAATGCAAGAAGCAGATCTCAAAAAATTGATAAGAACATTAAGAAGTTCTCAAAAACAAATTCTTGAACTACAGAAATCCTTAATGGACAAGATAGAAAATCTCTCTCGTGAAAATGAAATATTAAGGAGGAATCAAAATGAAATGAAACAACTAGTACAACAGGAAACTGGGATAGTGACTGAAGTGAAGAATTCAATAGATCAAATGAAAAACACAATAGAGAGCCTTACAAACAGAATGGGAGAAGCAGAAGAGAGAATATCGGACTTAGAAGACAGAGAACAGGAAAGGATACAGTCAGACCAAAGAAAAGACGAGGAAATTAGAAATCTAAAACATATTGTCGGGAATCTTCAGGATACTATTAAAAAACCCAACATTCGGGTTCTAGGAGTTCCTGAAGGCATGGAGAGGGAGAAAGGATTAGAAGGCCTTTTTAGTGAGATATTAGCAGAAAATTTCCCAGGTTTGGAGAAGGACAGAGAAATTCTAGTACAGGAAGCTCACAGAACCCCTAATAAACACGACCAAAAGAGACCCTCACCACGACACGTTGTAATTAAACTCTCCACAGTGAAACATAAAGAAAAGATCCTAAAATGTGCAAGAGAGAAACGTCAGATTACTCTCAGAGGATCTCCAATCAGACTCACAGCTGACTTCTCATCAGAAACTCTACAAGCTAGGAGGGAATGGCGAGATATAGCCCAGGTACTAAGAGAGAACAACTGCCAGCCCAGAATATTATATCCTGCAAAGCTATCATTTGTGAATGAAGGTGAAATAAAGACTTTTCATAACAAACAGAAATTGAAAGAATTTGTTGCCACTCGTCCAGCCCTGCAAAAGATGCTTAAAGATGTGTTACACACAGAAACAAAGAAACACGGTCATCAATATGAAAGAAGGTAAAGGAAGGAAACCAAGGAAGGAAAGCTCACAGCAAAAGATCACAGGGAATTCAAAGCATATATTAGAACTTATCTTTGGCAAATGGCAGGGCAAAGTTACCACTTATCATTAGTCACATTGAACGTGAATGGCCTGAACTGTCCAGTTAAAAGACACCGTTTGGCTGATTGGGTTAAGGAACAAAACCCATCTATTTTCTGCTTACAAGAAACACATCTTTCCAACAAAGATCCATACAGACTGAAAGTGAAAGGCTGGAAAAAGATATACCATGCCAACAGAAATGAAAAAAGAGCAGGTGTAGCCATCTTAATATCAGACACCATAAACTTTACCACAAAAACCGTTAAGAGAGACAAAGAGGGACACTACATCATGATTAAGGGATCAATTCAACAGGAAGATATAACAATTATCAATGTATATGCACCTAACTACAGGGCACCGGTTTATCTAAAAGATTTGTTAACGGACTTAAAGGGAGACTTAGACCCCAATACAATAGTACTGGGGGACTTCAATACTCCACTCTCAGAAATAGACAGATCATCCGGACAGAAGATCAACAAGGATACAGTAGATTTAAACGACACTATAGCCCAAATGGATCTAACAGATATCTACAGAACTTTCAATCCTACAGCTAAAGATTATACATTCTTCTCAGCAGTACATGGAACCTTCTCTAGGATTGACCACATACTAGGCCATAAAGCAAGTCTCAGCAAATTCAAAAGAATTAGAATCGTACCATGCAGCTTCTCAGACCATAAAGGAATGAAGTTGGAAATGAACAACTCAGGAATCCCTAGAGCATACGCAAACACATGGAGATTGAACAACATGCTCCTGAATGAACAATGGGTCATAGAAGAAATCAAAAGAGAAATCAAAAACTTTCTGGAAGTAAATGAGGATAACAGCACAACATACCAAAACTTATGGGACGCAGCAAAAGCAGTGTTAAGAGGAAAGTTTATATCAATAGGTGCCTACATCAAGAAATTGGAAAGGCACCAAATAGATGAGCTTTCTATTCACCTCAAGGATCTAGAAAACCTACAGCAAACCAGACCCAAATCTAGTAGGAGAAGAGAAATAATTAAAATCAGAGAAGAAATCAACAGGATTGAATCAAGAAAAACATTCCAAAAAATCAGCCAAACGAGGAGCTGGTTTTTTGAAAAAATAAACAAAATTGACACCCCATTGGCCCAACTAACTAAAAAAAGAAGAGAAAAGACCCAAATCAATAAAATCAGAGATGAAAAAGGAAATGTAACAACAGACACCACAGAAATAAAAAGAATCATCAGAAATTACTACAAGGACTTGTATGCCAGCAAACAGGGAAACCTATCAGAAATGGATAGATTCCTGGACACATGCAACCTACCTAAATTGAACCAGGAAGACATCGAAAACCTAAACAGACCCATAACTGAGACAGAAATTGAAACAGTAATAAAGGCCCTCCCAACAAAGAAAAGCCCAGGACCAGATGGATTCACTGCTGA